GGAGGGGGGAAAATGAGGAGCCGATATCAAGGGTTCAAGTATAAAGAAAATGCTTTGAGGACGATGATGGCAACAAATGTACAAATGTACTTGACACAATGGAAGGATGTATGGATTGTGATAAGAATTGTACGAGCCCCCAATAAAATGATTTTTTAAAATGTTGATAATAAAAGGCCAAAAAAAAAAGGATTGATCTGTACTGAAAAGATAGCCTATAGTGAGACAAGCAAATTAAAAGCTGTGTAAACATTATTGTCTCATACACATAGAAGTTTTCGGACATAGTGGTTATGTGTTGGACTGCAATCTGCAAGGTCCAGTTTGAAACCACCAGCCGCTCCGAGGGAGAGAGATAAAGTTACAGTCTCGTGAGCTCACAGGAGCAGTTGGACCCTGTCCTATAGGCTCACTCCGAGTCGGCATCGACTTGATCACAGTAAATATGGTTTGGTAGAAGCCAATTCTGAGCCAGGTCTGCCTGTTTGACTAGGCTTATTGACAGTAAACACACAAAGGATGAACCACTGTGGGGTCTTAGATTAATATGTTAAATTTAACAAGCATGTATGGAGTGCCTGCTGTGTTCCAGATATTGTGTTGAGAGATAAGTGGTATGCAATGGATATGTTCCCTGCCCTCCTGGAACTTACAAACACAGATTTTTAAATAAAGGAACACAGGAACACAGATGATTAAATAATGTTAGAAAAACTTAGTTAAATGATTGGGAAAATACACGGGAAACAGATCTGGTCTGGTGACTCTAAGGCAGCAGTTCTCAACCTGTGGGTTGTGAACCCTTTAGGGGTTGAATGACCCTTTCACAGGGGTTACCCGATTCAGAACAGTAGCAAAATTACCGTTATGAAGTAGCAATGAAAGTAATTTTATGGTTGGGAGTCACCACAACACGAGGAACTAACTGTATGAAAGGGTCGCAGCATGAGGAAGGTTGAGAACCAGTGCATGAGGATATAAGTCCTTTGATGTAGAAGGGGCATGGTACACACTCGCTAACTGGTAGATGAAAGTCCCTTTAGGTCAATGTAAGCAGCCTATGATCATGCAGAATGCATTGGAAAGTGGATTATTGCAGACAGGTTAAAATGTAGCACCTTATCATTCTCCCTTATGATCTATTTTAAATTTGGTTTAGTCTTTAACATTTTCTGCTTGCCTTTTTTTTTCCTTTAGTGTGTTCTTTTTTTTATAATCGTTTTATTAGGGGCTCATACAACTCTTTTTTTTTCATTGATCTTTTTTTTTCTAATAATCATTTTATTAGGGGCTCATACAACTCTTATCACAATCCATACATACATCAATTGTGTAAAGCGCATTTGTACATTCATTGCCCTCATCATTCTCAAAACATTTGCTCTCCACTTAAGCCCTCGGCATCAGGTCCTCATTTTTTTTTCCCTCCCTCCCCGCTCCCCCCTCCCTCATGAGCCCCTGATAATTTATAAATTATTATTTTGTCATATCTTGCCCTGTCCGATGTCTCCCTTCACCCACTTTTCTGTTGTCCGTCCCCCAGGGAGGAGGTCACATATAGTTCCTTGTAATCGGTTCCCTCTTTCCAACCCACTCTTTTGATGGAGGTTTTTATCTGTTTTAATTTGTTACTGTTGTTAGTTTAGTTTTGTTTCTTTAGTGTTTTCTGTGTATTAGATCCAGGACAGGTAAGTCTGTAGAGCAGTAACTGAGCTAATGGTTCCTTGGGGGTATTTCAGGGGAGGTTGTAAGGAAATGGGGAGCAAACAATGTGTACAAGAATGAAGAAAATAATCTAAAACTGACTGTGGTGACGATTGTACAACTCTTCTTGATCTGATTGAACTATTGAATTGTATGATGTGTTAATTATACGCCAATAAAAGTTTCCTTTTTTTTTTTTAAAGATCCTTTAGCGCAGTGGTTCTCGACCTTCCTAATGCCACATCCCTTTATTACAGTTCCTCATGTTGTGGTGACCCCCAACCATAAAATTACTTTCATTGCTACTTCATAACTGTAATTTTGCTACTGTTATGAATCAGGCAACCCCTGTGAAAGGGTCGTTCAACCCCCAAAAAGGTCATGACCCCCAGGCTGAGAACTGCTGCTTTCGTTCTGTTTTGGGGCTGACTGCTGGGCTCAGATAGTCTTTGGTTAGCATGCAGTATATAGTAAGAGGTCCCAACTGAATTGCATTCCCAGGTTCACATGTAAAACTACCTATACTCATCAATGAACCAGTGATTCATAGGGATTCAACAGACTGAGGATAACCCAGGTCAAACGGAACATTCAGGGCAGCCCTGGAAGTATTCAGCTTTGCAGGCGGAGCAGTATCTAGAGATTTACTGGGCTAGAGCCAGAGCTGCAAGAGACATGGGAACTGAGGAGGGGCAGGGCATACGTTTTATCCCAGTCAGTGAGCTGAAATTGAATTTTTTTCCCCCTTTAGCAGGAAGTCATTATGTAGGAATGATGTGTACTCCCAAGAAATGTGGAATTAGATTCCAGCCGCCAGCTATTATCTTAATCTATGATAGTGACGTCAAGGGGAAGAGTCGCCAGCGGATCATGCCAGTTCGAAACTTTTCAAAGTTTTCAGGTAACTTGTGTTTTATCTTGCCTCATATCTTAAATATTGTGTAAATCCCTTAATAAAAACAGTGGCACGGGGTCCCATGCAGTAAAGTAATGTGTTCTTCAGAACTAGAGATCCAGGTTCCGTCTTGCCCCAGAAACCGACAGGGACAATTCTATCTGCCAACAGGGTGGCTGTGAGTCAGAATTAACTCAATGGCAATGAGGGGGGTGCACGGTGTGGGGCGGGGTGTGTGTGTGTATGTGTGTGTGTGTGATGGGGATTCATCTACATTATTTTAAGATGTAGGAATAATACTTGCTAAATTGTTTACAGACAATAGGCTTCAATTTCCTTGTCTAAAAAGGGGTCGATAATTCTACCCTCAGGATGGTTGTGTGGGTTAATTGAGATAGCATTATTTAATAATATTAATTTCCTTCAATTTTTAAATAGATATCTTTTTTATTTTATTAGTACCAGTACTACTACCTAAAAGCTATAACCTCTCTTTTTCTTCTAAGGCACTTTCTTCAAGTGGAAGTGCCTAACATTTCTACCAAGCAATTTTAAGTTAAAGAAATCAGACGCACATCCCATCCCTTCCGTCTCAGACTCAACCCAAGCCTCAGCATAAAGGACTAGTTCTGCAGTGTCATTTACTCCAGTGCAGCCTTTTAGCTACTAGACTTTAACGCAGATAATGCCTTCCGCGTCTTGAGTTTTAGTTCTGTTTTATAGTAGTTTAGGGGCTCATCAGTTGTTTGTGGTGGAGGTAGTATACTTAGTATACAGTTGAATCTCATTCTGGTGTTTCTCTCCCTTCCTCCTAGACTGCAGCAGAGCTGCTGAACAACTGAAGAATAACCCACGGCACAAGAGTTACCTGGAACAAGTATCTCTGAGGCAGCTCGAGAAGTTATTTGGTTTTCTACGGGGTTACTTGCAGGGACAGAGTTTGGCAGAAATGATGGAACAGATTCAGCGGGAAAGAACCATCGACCCCGAGGAAGACCTGAACAAACTGGATGACAAAGAACTTGCAAAGAGGAAGAGTATCATGGATGAACTTTTTGAGAAAAATCAGAAGAAGAAGGACGATCCAAATTTTGTTTATGACATTGAAGTTGAGTTTCCCCAGGAGGAGCAACTACTTTCCTGTGGCTGGGACACAGAATCAGCTGATGAGTTCTGAAGCTAAGCACTCAGAATTTATTGGGCTGGCCCAAACTGTAGGTTTATATAAAATGTTTATAGCAAAATCTCTGTAGAGCACCAAATGCACATGTTGGGTAATCATTGGATTGACTTTTAGAATCAGGGCATTTAGAGCCTCTTCTCGGTTGGTGCATATGGAAGGTAAGAAAAGCTGAGGCAAAAAAAAAAGAAAAGCTGAGGCTAGGGATCCTTAAGGAGCCAGTCTACTTTGAAAAGCCTGCGAAGAGCTCATGACACTGCCAGACGGCAGCAAAAGTAGAGCTGGGTGCTTGAGAAAGACAGTTGTGTGTCAGCGAGGATCACAGTCTACCTAGAGCACCATTGAGTAGTCAGGGAAGACTTGGCCTGGTACTTAAAATGGTAGTATTTAAAGGTTAAGACTCTGTAGGATTCCCGCTGGAAGAAACTGGGAAAGGGAGGAGGGACAGTGGTAAAGAGATAGGGAATGAAAAGTTTCATGTATAGAATGGGAAGCAAATTACAGTTTGACAAGATTGGAGAACATCTGGTTCTCAGTGAATTATCCAGTATACATTATGTTTTTTAAAGTACTCGTTATATATGTGTGCACTCTGCAGTAGAGTGCTCTTGCAGAATGTCATTTGATGGGCAGCAGGGAGTCTTCCCTGTCAAGTATTGGGGAGTATCTACTACAGATATTCAGAAACCCCAGACCTCTTCCCACCCACAAGAGGTTTATTTGTAAAATGGGAAATCCACCCTATTAAGTGAGCAATGGGTGCTGCTTGTTTAAGCCTGTTCCTGAGTTTGAATCTACAAAGAGAGATCCGTGTTAAACCTTTGCTCAACAAGATTATCTGTACATAAACACATCTTCCTGGAATATTATTTAATTGGTAGAAATTTTATATTCTTTGCAAGGAAGTTAGTATTCATTAAATACGTCTTTAGATAATTACTCCTTCTACTTGTCCATCTTCATTCTCCTTACCATTAAAGGGCTGGTTCTTACGATGATATCACCAGAGACTTAAGATGGTCATGTTTCACTGGTATTTGCCAAACGAATGTTCAGAACTAGAAATTCTTCTGTCTCTGTAGCATCCCATTGTAGAGCTGTAGATAATCTCAAAAGTTGATTGTAGTTGTTTTCCCCCTTCACTATCACAAGCAATATTACAGCAAATAATCCTGTACATTTTTTGTCTTGCTCACGTGCAAGAATATCTATAGGATAAATGCCTTGAGGGAAACTGCGGAGTCAGGGGATGTATGTAAAATTTAATAGATATTGCCGAGTTAGAGAGCCCAGGTGGTGTAGTGAGGTAAGGGCTGGGCTGGGAACCACATGGCTAACTGTTCAAACACTCTCGCTGCTCCACAGAGAAAGGTGAAGCTGTCTGCTCCTGTAGAGATTTAGTTTCAGAAACCCTATGGGGCAGGTCTAGTCTATCCTACACACTCCGAGTCAGAATCAACAGCAGTAGAGTTTTGCTGAGTTGTCCTCTAGAGAGATTCATTCATTCATTCATTCACACGTGTGCTTCATGAATACTACACAGTGAGCCGTACTATTTTAGGAGCTCTGGTGGTGCCAAGTGTTGGGCTGCTTATCACGAGGTCTATGGTTAAAACCCACCAGCCGGTACACCAAGTCCTGAGGATGATGTTACTGCACGGAGCTGCGAAGACTACAGGGCTGACAGCAGCTCAATACATGATGTCTCCTCGCTGGAACATACCGAGACAGAGGGCAATCCTGGGGCCACACGGGGAAGGGAGTCCGGTCTGACCGCCCCCACAGTGGGGCGAACCAAGAAGGGGACATAACAGATCAGCAACAAGAGCAGAATAAAGCCACAAAACCCTTGAGGAGCCTGCAAAATCGACTTCAGGATAGGAGGGGCATTTCCCAGAACCCCCCAGACCGGTGGGGAGATAGTCATAATGGTTAGCGGACAGACCTGGATTTATGTATGCTTTTTCATTTGTTTGGAGTTTTTTGCTAGTTCTTTTTTTCTTATTTTATTCAATCTTTTGTCTCCATTAATGTCGGTTTGCCTACCTGTATAAGATAGGCATGGGAAACAAGCCCGAGGAGAAAGCAACGGACCAACAGTTCCGGAGGGACTTCCAGGAGGAGGAGGCGGGGGAAGAGAGTGGTGAGCAAGCAATAGACAGGGGAACAACTAGGTAATTAAAAGCAACAATGAGGAGGACGTAGAGATCCTGGTGGTGTTAGAACAACAGCAATCTAGCTGAGAGGAATTACTAAGAGGCAGAAGGGCAAGCGTGATGGTGGGTTAGGAGGAAGGTAAAAGGAAACAGGAAAGATCTAGGAAGCAAAGCTATGGATAGAGGTGTAAACATAGGTGTGCCCCTCTCTCAATGCAAGAAAACTTTGTTCTAACAACCTAGCATTCTGTGATGCTCACCCTCCCGACATGATTGCTGAAGACAAAATGGGTGCATAAGCATATGAGTGAAGAAAACTGATGGTGCCCGGCTACCAAAAGATATAGCATTTGGGGTCTTAAAGGCTTGAAGTTAAACAAGCGGCCTTCTAGCAGAGAAGCAACAAGCCCATATGGAAGAAGCACACCAGCCTGTGTGATCATGAGGTGTTGATGGAATCAGATAACAGGCAGCAGAAGACCCCAAACAAACAAAACATTGTTGAGAATGAGGGGGGTGGGAGCAGAGACCCAAAACCCATCTGTAGACAATTGGACATCCCCTCAAAGAAGGTCACAAGGAAGGGATGAGTCAACCAGGACACAGTACAGCATCGATGAAACACAATATTCCTCTGGTTCTTTGAGGCTTCCTCACCCCACACTGTGACCCCAGTCCTGCCTTTCAGTTCTGGCTAGACCGGAGCATGTACACTGGTACAGATAAGAGCTCACGACACACAGAATCTAGGTCAGATAAACCTCTCAGGTACAGAAATGGGAGTAGTGGTACTAGGAGGGTAGGGAGAAGGTAGGCGGAGGAGGGAAGGAAGGGGGATCTGCGGGCAATGATTTACTCATAACCCACTCCCCCCAACCCACCCCAGGGGGACAGACAACAGAAATGTGTGTGAAGGGAGACAGTGGTCAGTGTAAGATATGAAAATAATTTATAATTTATCAAGGGGTCGGGAGGGGAGGGAAAAAAAGAACTGATGCCAAGGGCTCAAATAGTAAATGTTTAGAAAATGACAGTAGCAACCTATGTACAAATATGCTTGATACAATTGATATATGCTTTTTATAAGAGCTGTAAGAGCCCCCAATAAAATTATTTTTTATAAAACCCCAAACCCACCAGCTGTTCCTTAGAAGACAGATGAGGCCATCCTCTCCCCCAAAGATTCACAACCTCGGGAACCCAAAAGGGTTACTAGGAGTCCTCATTGGCTTCGGGACAGTGAGGTGCTTTTGTTCCAGGATCTAGGGATATGATTGGGATACAACAAAGTCCCTGTCTCTTTCACGTTTTCAGACAAACATAAATACATAAAACAGGAGCAGATGATAAGCACGCTAAAGAGAAAAGCAAGGTAAAAATAATAATGAAGGAGGTAGGGGCCACTCTTTTTGATAGGGTGACCAAAGAAGGCTGGACTGAGGAGATAATGACATTTGAACAACAGTCTGACGGAGGTGTCAGGGGGGCGGGGGGAGGGGGGCTGGCACGTGCTTGGCATGTTTGAAGAACAGGGAGGCCAATATGGCTAATGCAAATTAAGCCAGAAAGCAAGTGGTAGGAGATGGGATCAGAGTGGTTTGTGCCAACACAGGACTTACCATGAAGTACTGGTTTTCCCTATGTGTTGATCAATTTAAAATAGTTTGACTTACAGTTTTGATTTGTATTTATTTTTATTGTGAATAAAGCAGTGTCTTTCATGCATTTAAGAGGCATTTTCTGTGAAATATGTGTTATGTCGTTTGTTTATTTTTCTGTTGGGTTGCTGGACGTTTACCGACTTGTAAAACTTCCATATCAAGAAAACTAGTCCTTGGACAATGGTATGAGTTAAAATACTTTTCACCTTGTCATTTGTCTTTTGATTTTGTGTATGATACTTTTTCCATGCAAAAGTATGTCTTTTTTAAAAATAATAATTTTATTGACATATCTGACACATTTCCAGTATATCCACTCACATACACTTCTGTTGTTCAGTCCCATGGGGTGGGTTATACAGTCATCAGTGCTATAGCTCTCCTTTCTCCCCTCCACCCATATTCCTCCCAGACCTTCAGAGAACCACCACTTCTGACACTGTCTCTGAAGGGTCATCATCTTGACCTTCTTGTACTGAACATTCCTAAATATATAAATCTAACATGATCAATGAGGTAAAACATAAAAACCGTACTAGTAAGAGGAGGAAATGTTAAAAGGACTAGAGAAGTGGTTCTCAACCTTTCTAATGCCATGACCCTTTAATACAGTCCCTCATGTTGTGGGCCCCCCCAACTTTAAAATTATTTTCATGGCTACTTCATAGCTGTAATCTTGCTACTGTTATGAATTGGGTGACCCTTGTGGAGGGGTCGCAACCCACAGGTTGAGAACCACTGGACTAGAGGCTAGTTATGTGTTTCACTGGTGCCATACCACATCCTGGACTTATCATCCTTTCCATGTGGCCCTTCTGAGAGGGGCTGTCCAGTTAATTACCTGGCAGGTGAGTTTTAGGTCTCTTTTGCATCCATGCCCCTTTACATCGAGTTAGTTGTGTGTTTTTGAACTTCTGATACCTCTTCCCGTCGATACCTTATGATCATACAGGCTGGTGTGCTTCTTCCAGGTGGGCTTTGTTGCTTCCCTGCGAGATGGCTGCTTGTTTAATTACAAACCTTTAAGACCCCAGACCCTATTCTTTTGACAGCCAGGCACCATCAGCTTTCTTTACCACATTTGCTTATTACCCATTTTGCCCAGAAGTATGTCTTAATGTGGTCAAATTGATCAATATTTTTCTCTGTGCAAGGCATGATTTACTCCAAGATAATTTAAAAAATGAATTCTATACAAGAATTAATTTTGATAAAATATGTAAAATATGACTCCAACTTAATTTTTTCCAGATATTCATCTAATTGTCTCATGCTACGTATAGAATTATCTTTCCCCTATTGATTTGAAGTGCCACCTTTATCATATACTAAATCCCACATATATCAAAATACTTATCTTTTAATGATGTTAACGTCATTAGCAGCATGCTTCCCAATCCATGTGTATCATAGGTCTAGGGAGCACTTCTTATGTGTCTACCTAGGTTAGGAGCTATGGAGAAGCCCTAACTTTTGCCTTTAAGGTGGTACATAGGTTAGCCCAAGAACTGAAACTAGCTCACATGAGAGAGAGAAACTAACTGTAACCAGAGAAGAGGGAGGTTGTGTAAGTTGAATAGCTGTTTTCCCCCTCTATGTATCTTGTCCAAAGCTGAGTTCTTTAACATTTTTTCCCATTATGACAATATTTTTTTAACATTTAAGTCCCAACGTGCAAAAGTAAAATTGGAAAACTTCCCCCTATTTCCTTCCCCAGTTGCCACTCGAGAAACTGGCTTCCCTGGAGGCTTCAGGACCCTTTCTTCCTTTGTGACCTTGCTTCATCATTACACTTTCTCTTATCCTGCCTCTTTCATTGTCAGCTTTATTCTCTGCTGGCTCCATGTCCTTCTAGATTAAAGCAACCAGAAAACAGGGGCTTTCCCTTTAGTCTTTCTCTACCTAATTCTGTGTCTATCCAAGTGGTAGTCCATAGGTGTTAGGTACATCTCATCTCCCCAGCCCTTTAGGGCAGGACAGCCTCTCTAGACTAGTTCTCTAGACACTAGCTCTGTCTGCAAAGCAGAATACTTCCAGAGCTTCCCTGAAAGTTCAACTTGGCTTAGATTATTCTCAGTCTGTTGAGTCCCTAAGAATCCCTGGTTCATTATTACGTATGGCT